CCTGGCACGCTCGATGGCCTGTCCCGCATCATCCGCAACATGCACGACTTGCCCCTCTCGGTTGCACGGTTCAGCCGCTTGCTTCGACCTTCCGCTATGCAGACGTCTTCCCGCCGCAACCTGTGGTGGGTGCCAACATGCCCTCCACTGTTGCCTTCCCTGTCCTTGCGACCATGAACTCGAGCGTCGCGTCAGACGACGCCAAGGCCCGCGTCTCTTGGATTCCCGCGCTCGAAGTCATGCTCCAATTCGAGTCCAGCTCCCGCTGGCCAAGCACGCTCGATGCAATGCAGAAGGTCAAAACTGCCTTCCTGATCAAGCTGGCCGAGGCTCTGGCCACCCGCAAGCCTCCGTCCGCCGAAACTCCCGACGCCGTCGCCGCTGCTGCCCACAAAAAGTCCAAGAAGGCTCAACGGGCTGAGGAGTCGAGCGAAGACGCCGAAGACAAGGAGGACGATCCTGAAGCCCACTTGCTCTTTGCGGGCAAGGGCATTCCGTCGCTTCTCTCGGCCGATCACCTCGACGTTTGCGTTGACGGCATTGTGTTTCGCTTGTTCGTGTACCACGAGAAGGAGGCCCAGCTCATTCGTGTCTGGGATCGTCAGCGCCAGCGCAAGCGCGGCCTCGGCTCGATGACCGTGGAAGTCGCCACCGAGGATGCAGATAACGAACAGGACGGTGCGGACGCCGCGGAAGAGAATGCCAGCAAATTGCTGCCAACCCTCTTCCCGGAAGGTGTGACGGCCGTCGCGTACGAGCGGTTCTTCACTCAGCGCGCCCTGCACACGAGCGTTATTCACAGCTTTGCGACCCTCCATCCCTTCTTTATGCCCACCGTGCGTTTGGCCAAGCGCTGGCTCGCAGCCCACCTCCTCTCGGAGAACTTTACCGACGAGTGCGTCGAATTGCTTGTTGTACGTGTGTTCATCCACTCTCACCCGTATGACGAGCCTGCTTCGCCGCTTGTGGGTCTCCTTCGCTTCCTGAGCCTGCTCGCGACCTTTGACTTTTTCCAGCAAGCCGTCATTGTCGATGTAGTGGCGGATTCTGCCGAACACAGCCGCTTTACTGAGGAAGAGGTTTCGAACGTTGAGACGCACTTCCGCAACAACCGTGCCGCGCTCCCTGCACTCTTCATTTCCACCCAGACCGACCGCCAATCCAGCCAATGGACTCTGGAGGGCCCGTCAGCCGGCATGCTTTCGCGCGCCGCCACGTTCGCCCGCGCTTGTCTTGAGATGTTGACTCGCTGCATTCGCAATCCCTTCTCTACGGATGCCTCGTTCGTTGTAAGTGGCTGCGTTTTGCTGTCGTCAGTTTGCACCAACACAAAGCCTGTGATGGAGGCTAACGACCGTTTCCTTTTCTGATTTGTTGTCGTTTTTTTTTTTTTTGTTTTGTTTTGTTTTGTTTTTCATGCAGAGCGCCTTCCGCACCAATCTCCAAGATTACGACATCATCATCCACCTCAAGCCCGTTCAAGTGCCCCGTCTGTACTCGAGCATCAACGCGGAAGAGTACCTGCCATTGTTTGTGCGCCCGTCCAAGTACAAGAACATTGCGCTCAGTGCCACGTTGTCTGCCGCATCCTTCGCCGCCCGAGGTGAATCGTCGCTTCTCGTGGCGTTCGATCCGGTCGGTCGATTTGTCGCAGAATTGCAGGTACGATGATGCATTGGTTTTTTTTTTTGGTTTTTTTTTTGGAGCGGTGAAGTTTTGTCGAGCTGTCTGACTCAATCCGTGTCCTTCCTCTTTTGTAGCGTCTCTTCTCCGAGTATGCCATTTTCTCGTTCGACAAGTATGGTGGAACGATCGTGGCTGTTGCCCTCAAGCCCGCAGCGTTCTCACCTCGCGCATTGAGCACCAACCACGCGCTTGCCACCATGCCTGCAATTCGTGCCAAGACGTTGCGTCCGCTTCCCGGCGTGACCAGTGATCCAGCCAATCAGGTGAGTGTGTGAGAGTGCGTATGGGAAAGGAGGGTGTTCCTCGTTCAATACGAAACACAATGTTCACTTTTGCTGGTTGGTTTTTGTGTGCAGGTGGTGGCCAACATTGACGCCCTCCTGGAGGATTTCGAAGAAGTTGGGCAAGGGCTGGTCGACCGCATCGAGGTGCAACGCAAGCTCTGGTAGACGTCCACTCACTGACCAACGATCATGCGTTGTTACAAAATGAAAGAAACATTAAAATTCGCGCTCTTTTCATGAACAAAACACGCGGAAGCCATTGCAGATATGTAGAGTTGATTCATTTATCAGAAATGGCCGTTCCAGAGCCATCCTGCTCAGGGAGCGAGGCTTCTGTAGCCGCCGCAGCCTCATGTGCGCTCGACGAACTCGTTTGCTCCGCCGCAGCCTTCGCTTCTGCAGCCGCTTTCAGCTCTGCTGCTTCCTTTGCATGCTTTTCACGATGGGCGGCAGTGCCTCGATCAAGGTCGACCTGAGAAGCCACGCGTAACTTGAGTAATCGGAGCATCACAAACGCACGCTACCTTTGAGGCATAATGACAACGTACAAGTCGTGCTCGGATCTCTTGGATTGAGGTTTCCACGTCGCCTGCAGTCGCTGGTGCGCTCAACCTTATCCTCACAAAGTCGTTGTGAATGGCGAGGGCATGTGTCAGAGCCTGTCGAATAACGTTCAAAGAGAACGGATCGTGAGCGCTACTCCAGTCAAAAGTACTCCAACCAAAAGTACTCCAGTCAAAAATACTCGCAGATAGCATACCTTCTTGGGATTAAATGATGGAGTAGAGTTCTTCGGATGCTTGTGTTTGGCCGAACCTTTACCGAACGCGGCGTACATGCCACCGCCCGTGTCATCTCGGTTTTTCTTGTGAAGCACGCTGCCTTCTGGGACATTGAGCGGATTGTTGGATGAGGGTGGAGGATTCGCGCTGGATGGAGAGGAAGCGGGTGCGGCGTTCGCGGGCAACAAGCTGGTCAAATAGCCAATCAATCGATGTGCAATCTGCTTTTCAGCTTCGAACGGGTCCCGCAAAGCTTCGGCTTCAGCGCTGTTGAGGGAGGATCAAGGAAATAGCAGGGTGAGAGGCGCTTGACGATAAGAAAAACAGCGCCAACGAGCTGGCCGTTGCTTGATGCACGTACAAATCTTTTCGCCGAGCCTCCTTTAATGCGCTAATCTCGAGATGGCGTTTTCGACGCTCCTCCTCGCGCTCAATCCGTTGCCGCTCCCGATCCTCCTTTGTTGCTTCAAACCAATCTTGGCGACGGCGCTTAAACTCGTCGTTCAACTCTCGTCGAGCAAGATAGAGGTTGTTCAATTCTACAAACATTGGAAGGTGAAGGTCAGTGAGAGGTGCCGACAAGCAATGCAATGCAACCAAAAACAACCAAAAACAATCAAACAAAACCAAACAAACACAAAAAGACTCCAATCCTCACCTTTTGTCAAGTTGTGCCGTTGCGCAAACCCATCTGTGTTTGCGCCGTTGTCTTGGACGAGGCGCAAAGCGTCGAGCTCCTCTCGGATGGCATTCTCCTTTGCGAAAAGCGGCTTCAGCTGCGCCATCACTTCATCCAGCTCCTGGCGAGCCTTGGCTTGTGCCTGGCGTTCGACATCGATGCCGGCACGAACCTGCTCGTATTCGGCGAGCCGGTTTTTGGATTGCTTGAGCTTGGCAATCTCTGCAAACAAGCGTCGTTCCTCGGTCATGTTGAACGAGCCATGGGAAAGCTGGTACTCGAGGTTTCGCACCGCCGTGTCGATTTCGTTTGCGTCGCGGATGGCAAGGTCTTTCCGCAAGAGCAAAAGCTCGCCGTCTTTTTGGCGAATGTACTCGAAAATGGCCTTGAGCCGGTCGTCGAGCGCCGTCTTTCGCTCGTACAGCGCCTGTTTGGCATCGCGCACCTCCTTGAGCGTGTCGCGCTTTCTGCTCATCTCCACCTTACGCGCCTCGATGACTTGCGCCAGCTCGTTCAATTGCTTCTCAATGCGCTCAATGTTGGCAGTGTACTTGTCCATTGCCTGCCGGTGCGCATCCTCGTTCGGTGGTTGCTTTGCGGCGTCGTTGACCAGTCCGCCATCAACGGATGTTGGTTCAGCCGTTTGCGCGGCAGCATTGTTGGATGAGTTTGTAGACTGACTTGCAGTCGCAGCGCTTGGCTTATTGGTTGACATTTTCTTGTTTTCTGAGATTTGTGCAACAAAAACACAACAACAAGCAAAGGTGAGCACAACAGCAGCGTTTCCCCACTATTATTCCTCTGAGATGTAATGCATATTGCTTGTCTTCGTTTATAGTGGGATGTTTCGGCTGCATCTTTGGCATTTGGCGTTCTGAGATTTTGCCAGAAGTGATGAAATCAATGCGAAATCAATCAAAATGCAACCAAAAGGACCAAATCGGTCTTTTTTTGTTTTGACTCATCGCGCCATTACTTCAATGCACTTGACTGGAGTTGGTCCATCCTCATTCTTCAAGAGAGTGAGCGAGAGAGCGGGTGAGAGAGAGAGAGAGAGAGAGAGGAACGAACTGAGTTTGGCTGGGTTTGCATTGA